TGTGTCTTCCATGAGGACGTCATCATTCTTTCACGGAAGAAGTTTCGGTACGAATGAATTACCGCATTCAGATGCTCCACTGTTTGTTTCGTACTTCAAAGCGTTTGGTTTCCTGGCCATGTGTTTGCTGTGCGTTATCGCCTGAGACACGACGAGGCTTTCAGCCGGAATGAGGCCAGTGTCTCGTAATTATGTTCGCTCCAGGGTTACAGGGTGAACGAAGTATATTTGGATTCAGAGTCGAGAGAGCTGTGCTCTCTACTCGAAATTCCACAGATATCCGCAGAACTTGAAATGGAAGATATGAAGGATTTGTGATTGCGTTGTAATTTACATTGCCCAGGAATTTAATTCAAGGATCTGAAATGCCTCAACAGAACAAAGGAAAATGGCAACAAGGATTTGCGTTTGGAATGCCGTCTGTCTCTTGTCTACGCAATTATAATTCAAATCCAGCTTATCACTTTTCATTCCTTCAGGTCGAGTACAGCAAAGTCTCTGGACTGAGTGGGAGATTTAGATACGTTTTTTTTTTCAAACAATGCCAGGTCATATACGTAAGTCTCCCCCCCCCCAAGCGCCTTCATGGCGTTCAGCGGGACAGCTTTACTAACTTTACAATCTATTACTCCAAATCTGATAACTTGTAACGGGAAGGTTAGCATTGCGTTAAGAATTCAATAAGGATGGTTCTTTTTTTAATGTCACTGGTGACCCTCAGTGGTTTATATACAGAAAGACGGATTTTGCATGAACAGTAAATGTTACGCTATTATATTTTATTATAATAAACTAACGTGTAAATGTTATAAATTTTAGTTTGAAATTTAACTGATAACTTCGGATTATGTGTTCCGAGAGATGTACAAAACTTACGAAGGGTTTGGTCTTCACTCTCGGTGCAAGAGATGTGCGATTTATGCAATTGATATGTGTCAAAATTTTCGATCTCTGCACTATCTGTAATCCTTGGCAACATTACGGTCTTTATCTGTTGTCCGGAGACATGCCATTAGGAATTGTGTTTCTGGCGTGGACGTAATCCTTTTCAGTCTCTCGTGCCCCAAAATGTAAGTTAACCACATTCCTTCTAAACCGCCGATCTGATGTGAACCATGTTTATATTCATACAAATGGCGGACTTGAACTACGTCTGTACAAAAACGTAGGACGAAATCCGTCTTAAAATAGCAAGAAACTGGATTCATTAACTCTTGAGGCATTCCTTTGAGGTTCTGTCTTACAGCTCCAAGTTACAGGGTTTTATTTTCTAATAGTCATTCAGATAATTCCATATTATTATAAAATATGTATAAATAATCATATTAAGTGACAGATAGAAGGTTAATCTCTGTTATAAGAAGAGATTTTGAACTTCATTGTAAGACGCATTCCTTCCCAGAACCTCAAATCCTGGTAATCGTCAGTTTATTTTATATGTGATAGTGTCCTTAACTTTTTATGAACAAGTCTTCCTATATGTCCTTCTTGCAGTAAACGGTTATTGTCAGCTGAGAAGGTAAAATCTCACACAGGGTCCTTCTGACGCCGTAAAACTCTAGAACATAGCATCAACGTGCAGACACCCTGAAATCCTAGTCAGTTTCGTGTGGTCTGATTGTTCGCAAGGGCTGCACTGTGACTGCTGTAACAACGTTTTGAAGCCAGGACCATCGATCTGTTCCGACATGTGACATCAGTTTACTCCATCGTGGACATTTATGTGACCAGACAAATGGGGTCGCGTTTCGAGTAATAGACATTTAGGTTTCGGTCCACTAAATCTGGGTAGAAATGCAGTGGTTAATTCCGTGTGAAGGACGAATTATAGATTCCTCAACAGAATCCTCTCAAATATCAGATTCGCGGAGTAAACGAGATAGGAGGATACCTCAATGCACTTCTTCGACGTACAAGTGGATGGATAGCCAAATGGTTGGTTCTGAGTGTCTTCTATCGTCTCAAATCTCCTTCCCTTTAGCTGAATTTTCATCTTTGGGAAGAGGAAGAAGTCACACGGAGCTTAGAAAGGAAGTTGGGGTCGGTTCTTGCAAGATCTTTGAGCTCCTGACAAACGAGAAGTCGATTCTGCTTCTGGTCCTCAGACAGGTTGCGTCGCATGTGGAGTTCTTCCTTTAGAATCAGCTGACATGTCCCATAGCCTATCCCAACAATGTCGGACAAGTCGTTTATGGTACGACGTCGATCTTCGTGAATGGCCTGCCGAATCTTCGTACCATTTTCGGGCGTTGTGCTCGAAGATGGTCGTCCAGAACGCTCGTCATCATCGACAGAAGTTCGGCCGTTTTTAAAACGTGAATGCCACACAAAAGTTTGTGCACGACCCATTTCGAAGTATTTCCCCAAATGCTTGCTTTAGCATTTCATAGGTTTCCGTAGCCGTTTTGGCGAGTCTTTGGCAAAATTTGATGCACACGCCATTCCGAAATCGCAGGAGGGTCGGTGTAATGCACTACCAAAACGCCCGTAACTAAGAAACAAATGCTAATTCGATGATGCCGGCTGGCAAACTGATTCACTATAAATGTAGGCCGCACCCCCTAAAGGCAGAAGCTCGTACTACATCCGGTTCGCCCTCTATTGACACAGTCTAGAAACTTTCCGATCGCACCTCGTACGATAACGGAGTCCGGCCGTCAGATTGTGAGTGAAACAAGGCTCGCAGGTTTGTTAGTTACGAAACGTCGTCCACTGTGTGATGACACCACCTGATGTCCCTCTTGATCGGACAAGGTGTTAGCATTTCATTCATAAATCAACCCTTGATATCGGAGTTTCGAAACTGTTTGGTAAGTTAACTTCATTAACATAAACGCGGATTGTACGGAGTTTACGCTAATGTACGTCCTGTGAGTTCCGTGGAGCATTGTAAGCATAGGGGATGATTTGACTAACAGGTCGGCAGGTCCCTAGGGACGTGATGACGGATGAGCCCGAGAAGAACTCTTTTTTATTATTATTATTTTCTGGTAATGAAGCTCCTGGTCACGGTGAACTCACACCTGATGGAACTTACATTTTTTTTTTAATTTTCACTGAGTGTGGGAGAATAAATATTCGGTTACTAAGATAATTTCCTGGATTCATAAAGAATTTAAGGGAAATAGAAGGCAGTTGTCCCTTTTCGTAACTTTTTATTCAACTTAGAGGACGATCGAAATATATTCCAACCCTTAAAAATGTATTTATGGTTGAAATCCAATACAGTTTTATTTGATTAATAATCACGCACTATCGTCGTGACTGTGTCTAAGTCCACGAAGGTCACGTCATGTTGTAACCTGCTTCTGTCAGTCCGTTATTTGTCCCTCAGGAGTCGAAGTGCAGCGAGTCTTGGATGTACCTCGTTCTTACTTAACTTACCACAACCACTGTAAGGATACATTTCCAAAATCTCCTGTGCGAAACAAATGGACAATATTTCGTCTAGAAACTCGCATTTCTGTATCTGGTCATCAGTCAATGAAAGCGTATGGAGGAATTTGGAGGTCGAACTCCTCTATGTCCATGTTAAATTTGATTTAGGAGCAAAGAAGAATTGGTCTTCTGATACAGTTTATGAAAACAAAAGTGAAATTGATGAAAGGTTGAGTTAGCCTAATCTTAATGGTGAACCGGTTCACGATGGATCACTACTTTCCTGCATCAAATCAGATATAGAAACCTTGTCAGAGGCGAAATGAATGTCCTTGAAGCCCCTCTGTCAACAAGCACAAGCCGAGAGTCGAATGGCACAGCAACATACAAGTAGACGCCGGACGATGGAGGACAGCAGGTACACCACTTTTTGGCAAATGACTCTCTTGGTTTGTTGCCATACCAGATGGTGGCTGGATGGACGCATATATACAGCTACGTTATCTGCTGTGTAGAAAGCTGAACGAGCCCAAGACACTCGGGAAATTTTAAACATACTCTCCGGGAATCGAACTCCATCACGTTTATAATCAATACGTCACCTCCCCTCCGTATTTTAAGAATGTCAAAATCGAATTTCGATTAATTTAAATAGAATTTTAACCGCTGTTAAATGTGCTATGTTGTATACAGTAGTGACACTTAGGAAATGAACGAACGGGATAATTATATGTACCTAAATTATGTCTGATAGTGTCCATAGAACTTTTATACATTTGTAATTCTGTATTATCAGCAACCAGGATTCAAATTAACTGCCCCGGTACGCGAATTCTCTGGCCTCTGGTCAGATTAACCTAATATTTACTCAACAACAGCACTGAGGATTTGAATTACATTTAGATTTAATATAACAGAAATTTCAACAGTGAAAATATCAAAGCTACGTCTTGGATAAAAGTTATTGTCTTAACATTCATTTTAGTAATATCATGAGATATGAAATTTTCGTAACAAAGTTTTTTCGTCAAGGCACTGCTCGCATTCAGACCTTGCCACTCAGAGACAATCCTCTGTCTGATAGCTCCCCATTGCCTTCCAGTCTCGATGAAGCAACCAATCAAATCTCTTTCACTAAAATTGAAAGTGCCTGTGGGGAAAGGTGTCTGTCGAAACATCGATATCCGCTTTGCATCGTTCGCCGGAAGTTTGTGGCTCGCTCTGAGACCCACTCAAGTTCTGTAGCTCTGAGCATCTTGAATTAACCCGACGATACGACCGAATTAGTAAAAGTGGCTCCTGCCTCGATGTTCGCACGGGAAATCAGGAACTTCTAAGCGTTTTACGAAACCAGGTGAGCCACTTTAATCCGTTCACCAATTTAATAATTCGCATATTCGATATTAATTTCATTTTGTCAATGCGTTACGTCGACCGATGTTCTCACACTCCCGTGCGTTCTACATTCCCCGCCAATTTCACCTCAATTCACTTTATCACCCTAATATGTGTCTAAGAATAAAAATAATTAATTTATTCATTATCGAATTTTAATTTTCGCACAGCGCCATCTTGTCCCGTGTCTCCGATAAATGTATATTTTCACGGCGATCTGATTTCAGAAGACAATGGACTCGTGTGTACGATCACCAACATTCCGGGGGTATCTGCTGCTGATTTTTCAAGATATAAACGGAGATGAAGGCGGTAGGTTCCCCCGTATCGTTATCAAAGGTCCATTATGACCCTGCATTCAGCATAATGACGAAACATGTACATTAACACTTCTCGCTTACGGCAAAACATCATCTTGTTTCAGACCATCCTTAACAATAAATTACGTCAGAAAAATATTAGCTTGTGCTGACATCACAATATATTTCGTTTAAAAGCATTTAATCTGCAAAAATATTTTAATTGTTATACCAAATTTAATTCCAGTGTTTTATAATAAGAATTTTAAATAATGCATCCTGTTTTGTTTTTATTGTTAGGTTGGCTGTCCATCTACTCAACGAGTTTCAGCTTTTATTAAGAATGTACTACGTCTCGACTGTAATAGTTCATATTCGGATGGTTATCTATAAATTATCGAAACTAATCGACATTAATGCTAAATCGTGTATTTGAATCAGATAAAATTTGCGGTTTTTTCACAATTATTCGCAACACCTGGATGCATAGGAATTTGACCTAGAGTAGAAAACAAAAATTCTTTTCGTATTTGAAAGACTATGCCAAAATGAATGGTATAAAATAATATTTATGGCTACTTTATAAAATATCGATTAAAATATTAACGTTAGAATGTTTAAGTTGTCTATGTGTTAAAATCTCGTCGGGTTATTGAGAATCTTTGGATGTAGAATAAAACTTTCATGTATATTAGTATGGATCACTCAAAGAGAAAAACATGAAGATGACCTATTACGGTCGAAACATGTGCTGGACTTTAATAAACATTGAGGTTATGATGATAAAATTTGTTTCGAAGAAGGGCTGTTAACCTAATTTCCTACAATGGTTTTCTGTGGTCTGTTATAATCATTGCCACAATCATCATCGTCATCATTTTCGTCAAAATGCATACAGGCGATTAACAATGTTTTCGTCGGAGTGTAGAGTTAAATTAGACGGGAGGATTACTGAATAAAACCTAGGTATCCTCTATAAACCTGTGTAAGGCTAGATGCGTCCATCGCTGCCTAATCTGGTTGGAGATGGTGTTTGTGTGTCCGGGAATCCAACCCTGAACCTTCTGCCTCGATTAATTCTGACGTAATTTTATCGGTGCCTGGCGACTTAATACATTTTCGAGTTTCAAATAGATTTTTGTGCCTTTCCTGAAATATTTGCTCACAGGAATGCTTACATTCAAATATCCTGACAGAAATAATTTGTCCACGTGTTCAAAATAAAAAGAAAACTGTGCCAATACGAAAGGAGATTACTCCAACTCTTTATCAGAGTACGCAGCGCCTCTAAAAGACTTTGCGTCTCTACAGGGAATTAAAATATTATGTCCTTGTTCTTTTCGAAGCTCATTAACTTCGTCTTTCAGATGATTCGCCTTTTGTACCCGAAACTTTTAATAGTTTTAACATCTTACATTGTTCATGTAATCTCCATTAACTTGTCTTGGGTTCAGCAAACACTGAACTTTGGATTCTTTCTTTTATCGGACAATTCGAAGCAGTTTAGTGAAGCCATATTTGTGCTGTTTTAGTTTATAGAAAGTGGAATATGTATAAAGTATATAGTAGACAGGTGGGGCTGGAAGTAAATTCAGAAAAAAACTAAGTACATCTTAGTATCTCGTCATCAGAAGACAGGCGGGCAAAATTATCTTAGGGTGGCTAATAAATCCTTTGAAAGTGTTACAAAGTTCAAATATTTGGGAACAACAATAACAAATCAAAATGATACTTGTGAGGAAGTTAGGAGGAGATTAAATTCTGGAAATGCTTGCTACTTCTCAGTCCAAAATATTTTGTCTTCCCGTCTGATTTCTAAGAACCTGAAAATTAAAGTATACAAAACAATAATCTTGCATGTTGTTTTGTATGGGTGCGAAACATGGTCTCTCACTCAGAGGGAGGAACACAGATTGCAGGTGTTTGAGAATCGGGTGTTGAGGAGGAAATTTGGGCCTAGGAGAGAAGACGATGGGGCGTGGAGAAAACTGCACAATGACGAGCTTAAGAATCTGTACTGCTCCCCCAGTATTGTCAGGGTGATTAAGTCGAGAAGAATGAGATGGGCTGGGCATGTAGCGCGCATGGATGGGGCAAGAGGTGTGCACCGGGTACTGGTTGGGAAACCTGAAGGGATGAGACCTCTGGGGAGACCTAGACGTAGATGGGAGGATAATGTCAGGCGGGATCTATCGGAGATAGGAGTCGAAGGAGACTGGATTTTGTTGGCCCAGGACAGGGACCAGTGGAGGGCTTTGGTTAGTTCGGTGATGAACCTTCGGGTTCCCTAAGCCAGCTACTTAGCTAAATTATAATCACATACACTTCCTTTGTTTGAAATGTTTATATTATCCCTAGAAACTGCTTAACTCACATTTATGTCTGCATTATAGAAATAATTTAAGTTTTTGAACCTGTTTGAGCTGTAACCTGATAATCTTTTGTGACTTCTGCGTCTTCAGTTTCTTATTTAATCTTTCCATATCACTCATTTACTGACTCAGAGTCTGTCCCTAGTTTTGAGACCACCAAATGATGTTTAGTATCACAGTCGGCCCCTCTGAAAGTTCGATCCTCAAATATATTTGACTGTCGTCTCTCGTGTCAGTGACTCTGTGTCTCCGGACAGAATTGAATGTGTGTTTAAGCACAAATGCCCTCCTGACGATTAGACTATTTGACTTCGCAACAGTTCATTGCCCAAACTCCCATTACGTGTATTTGCCTCGTGTACATTCCGGTTTTCGAGGTAGCCTTAAACCTCTGTTCTCCTGTTACGTTTATACTCAGATCTAACAAATTATTCCTGTTGGACTTTCAGAACCAATCGTACAATGTTATTTCCTCGTGAAAAGTTTGCCTTCTGTATAAACTTTTGTGCTGATTCGGTTGTAAACATTAACATCGCATAACTACGTCCGGTTTTCTTGTATGCTGAAATATCCCTTATTCATTGGTTCAATAGCCTTTCTCCTTGAAGAGACTATTATGTGTAAAGGCTATTGAAGTGAGCGTTGGATCATACGTACGAGGTGCGATCGGAAAGTTTCAAG